GAGCTATAGTTGTTCTGGTGACTATAGTGTCCCTTTAAAGCTAAGGTTGTGCATTATTCAAAAGCTTCTGCTGTTTCTAACTCTCTAGTAGCCCAACATCTTCCTGACAAAGGGATTTTAGAGCTGGTGATTAATGAAAAGGGAGTTGGGACCTGTAAGAATGGTACAGAGACACTGAATTGAGAGACAGAAGCGGAAGAATTACATTGGGGGTGTTTATTCTTAAAGGGTTACCCCAACAACAATAACAATAACAACAAAAAAACTGTGTTTTAAGAAAACATTGTTTTTGATCAGAGTAACCCTTCTTATTCTGGTCCTCCTCTCAAAACAAGAAAATGTTTCTGTATAATGCAGAAACTAGAGCCAAACTAAAGCCCAATTGTGTGAAGAGAAAAATGTAGTCAGTAATAATACAAATATTTTTTAATAATAATACAAATATGAATACAAATATTCATGCATATGATAGCAGGTACTTCTATATGTCACTTAAACTGTAAGATATAATTAGACTGGTTTTTATATTTATTTATATATATATATATATATATATATATATATTTTATATATATAAAAAAAACTACTTAATTAATGATTTTATTAGTTGCAACACCAAGAATGTTATATTTATTGGAGTGCCCATGCGGACTCCAATATGTAGGCATGACGACTAGATGTTTAAAAGTAAGATTAGCAGAACACTGCTGAAACATTATTAGAGGATATGAAAACCACTCACAGTCCAAGCATTTGATTAAACACAATAAAAATCCCAGATATCTTAAATGTATTGGTATTTATAAATGTAACATTCCATGGAGAGGCGAGGATGTAAAGAAAATTATGGGAAGTAAAGAAATGGAATAGGCATTCAATTTAAAAACACTTGCCCCACAGGGTTTGAATAAAGAGTTTGATCTTTTTAATTTTTTACAATATATATTTATTAATTATTTTTATTAATTTCTTAACTATAATTTTAGAACAATATACTACCCCTTTTCCCTGTCCTTCAACTCCCCTGTGGAGACATATCACCCAATCAGGCTATTCTTATAAAGAACCTTTGCCACTCTATTTTTTTATCTTACTAAATCTTATTATCTATTATTTATTTATTTACTTTTATCTATTTATTTTTAAATTTTTCAACAACGCTATATTAAGATTGAGTAGATAAACCTCTAGTGCAATATATCCTTTTCACATATGGTAAATACATATTTAAAGATAACACATCTATTTCAGCCTACAGCAGGCATTAGGGTATGCTGCAGACTATTGGACATCTGTCCGGATTCATGACACCTCCCTGCTGATGACATGTCGATCCCACCTCTCCACAGACACACTATTGCTTATGCGTACTGTGGCGAGGAATACATGCATACTTGCCCTCTCCCCACAGATGCACTGCTGCTCATGCACATTGTGGAGATGGAAGCACGCGCACTGGCTCTCTCTCCCATGGTACGTGCATTCCACCAATGCCGAAACTGACTCAAGGACATGTGACATGGATATAAAGTCGCGTGCCACGTGACCAATCTTATGCGAGTCTTCATCACTATTATAACCCTCATTTTTATATAACAAATGTTGGATACATTCTCTTATTAGACTATCTATTATTGTGTTCTTTGTATTTATGTTTTAAAGACTATTTTGTATGTTATTAATAAACATTGGAATTTATTAAAAGAAGACACTATTTTAAAAAATTTACTACCAGAAAAACCAAAAATAGTTTTTAGGGGAGCACCAAATTTAAAGATGCACCTCACAAAAAACTACACGAAACCGAAAACAAAATACACAGGGGCTAGTTTTTTAAACGAATCCAAAGGTTTTTATAAATGTAATATATGTGTTGCCTGCCGAAAAACTAAACCTATGCCTAAATTGAGAAGTAATTTCAAATCAAACAACAATGGTAAGACTTATAATATTAAAGAAATAATCACATGCAATAGTAAAAATGTAATTTATTTATTGGAGTGCCCTTGTGGCCTCCAATATATAGGACGAACCATTAGACCTCTAAAAATACGAATAGCGGAACATTGCAGAAATATAGAAAAAGGTTTTAAAAATCATTCCGTTTCTTCGCACTTCTGCATGCACAACAATGATCCTAGTAATCTCACTTTTATTGGTATTACCACTGTAAAACCTCATTGGAGAGGAGGCGACCACATTAAGAAAATTGGACGCACAGAGATGGAATGGGTTTACAATATGAATACCCTACACCCAGATGGACTAAATGTGGAATTTGATCTGTTTAATTTTTTATAAAAATAGTATTTTATAAACACACTTTTCTTGTATAAAAATAATTTTAAAAACTTTTTATAATTCTCAACTGACCTAACAAATTGTCTATACCCAATTATAATATACTCCATCCCTGGGCTTTCTCCAATTTCTTATGCACCTAATGTTTTTATATATATTCTGTCTCTAATTTTTGTAATTTTTAAGAGTATTTTTTTAAGAAAATATTTTTAATTCTAATTTTAATTTTATACACCAAGTCATATTTATATGTAATCTGTATTTTTCATTCTTAATATATTTTTTTTACACATGTACATCTTATTTAAAGTCGGACATTGTCTTATGATGTATATATATTTTTTTCTATTTTTTTCTATTTTTCTTCTTTATGTGTTCGGTTTAAAATGCTGAGATTTACATGATATGGACATTTGAACTCAACTTTGGATCATGTTTTAAGAGACTTTTCATGAACACAAGATCATTTTATGACTATTATATGCTCCATTGTTGGAACGCATCAATTTATATCTTCAGACATTTGGCCCTTCTTCACAAGAGGATTTCTGGCATCTGTAATCGCCGCGAAAGTATCCAGTCGTCATAGAAACATGCCGCGGACACTATGCGTTCCACTACTGAAACGCATGTATTCAAACTGCCTGTGGTTACGTCGCGTCACTTCCGGTGCGACGCGTGCGTTCCACGGCGGGTATCTATGTACACGTGGACGCCGCGCCGCTTCCGGTTTGTTGCCGCGTGCGTTCCACAACACACCAGGAAGTCATTTCTACTTATGTAAGTTTATATATTAATGATGAACTTAAGGACACTTACTTTACACTTCTGATGAAGCCGAACAGGCGAAACGCGTAAAGTGTTATTTTTTATAGCCCTTTTTATTTATTATATTACAAATACTTGTTGCCATTAAATATAATTTTAAAGTGATATACTACTTTATTTTTATTCACCTTCCTCATCATTTCCTGGTATCATATATCCTTCAGTGGGGATTATACCACTGCAAGCCTTCTATACTAGAGCAAGTTGTCTGCTCTAATAAATGTGAGTATAATCATCTTCATTTTATTTGTTCCACATTTTAATTAGAACTACTACACTATTGGAGTTCTCTCTCTTCTGTTTTTATTTTTATGCCACCACACCATTGGAGCATTGAATAGTTGAACTCTCTATCCTGAGACGGGGATTGTACCGTCCGTGCAAGTTAAGGTAGAGCTCCTGATTAGCTCTACCAAATGTGAGTTTGAAATACCTCAGTTTACACAGTAATTCTGGTTTTTATTATAACATATTGCACTATTGTATTTCCCTCTTTGTGTTTTTTTGAGGATATATTATCCATACCGACTAAGGGACATCAAGTGTATGTATGTAAGAATTTATTTAAAGCGCAGTTTCCTCTCCTTTTTTATTTTGTATGTATCTATTCTGTTCCTCTATGATGATGTCATTTTGGCGCCAATTCTAAATAGTTAATTACAATATGTAAGGCTTGTTACCATATACCTATTTCTCCTTGAAGAAGCCCTGTGTGGCGAAACGCATTTAGAAATTCTGGTTTTATTCTGTTTTATATTAAATAGAGGAATTTTATTGGCTACCTTTTATGTTTGCCATATTCCTTTTTTTTTTTTTTGCTTTGCCTGACTCTTCTGCACACGGTTCCTAAGAGGGCTTAAAGAATCCAAAGTGGGAACTATATCACCAACGCCCTATACATCGAGCAGTGAGCCTGCTCAACTAAATGTGATTATATTTCTATTATTCCATATTCACTATCTGGTCCCAAAGCTGCAGTGAGCACTATATATTTTTTGCTGTTTTTATATTCTTGGTTGGGGTCCCCCTGTTACCATACCATTGGAAGTTTGGCGTACCTCACACATCCTATAAGCAGTGGCATACTAAGGTGGGGTGAGGGGCAGGGTGGTCCGCCCAGAGTAGGGGCGTGCCACTAGTGCTTGCCGTGCTTGGAGAGGTATGAGCCGTGTGGCTCCACAAGGTGCCGGGCAGCTACACAGCTCACACATGCAGGGGCTGAGAGCAGGAGAACTGCACTGCAAATTGGGGTGGAGCCAAATCGGCCATGGGTGCGGAGCCAAATTGGCAGCGGGTGCGAAACTAAAGGCATATCACTGAGTGTGTGACTGTCTGCCAGTGACTGTGTGATGCTGCCTGTAACTGTGTTGCAGTCTGCCTGTAATTGTGCGTGATACTGCCTGTAACTGTGTGTGTGACTGTCTGCCTGCAGCTGTGTTTGTGTAACTGTGTGTTTGACTGTGTGCGAGTGACTATGTGCCTGGGACTGTGTGCATGTGGCTGTATTTGACATGATATCATCCCGGCATCGGCGTCATTACACAGCACGCGAGGGACCTGTGCAGGAAGAGCACAGAGATCTCAGCAGCAAGCACTGACCACCAGCCCTCCACCCCAGCCCTCTCAAAGCAAGGTAGGAAGGTTGGGTGGACCTCTTATTAAATGTGTGTATGTATGTGATGATTGTGTGTGTACATCTAATTATATGTGTGTGTGATTGTGTGTCTGTGATTGTGTGTGTGTGGGTCTATGATTGTGTTTGTGTATGTCTGTGATTATATGTGTGATTGTGTGGGCATCTCTGTGGTTAAGTGTGTGTTGTGAATATGTGTGTTTATGTGTTTGCTTGTGTGTGTAGGTCTGGGATTGTATGTGTGGGTCTGTGATTGTGTGTGTGTGTGTGGTTATGTGGGCAAATGTGTATACACACACACACACACACACACACACAACCACAGTTGTACACACACACACACATACATCCATTGTGTTGTTTTGTGTGTATATAAATGTGTTTAGTAGATACCTCCCTTATTTGGTGCCCTGAAATATTGCAATCTCACATAAGGATAACAAATAAGTGAGTTATCTACTAAACAATTAAAAAGCTTAAAATTAGGAAAAGGGCTTTTTACAATTTTGATCTTTTAGCTGTTTAGTAGATAATTCCCAAATTGGTGCCCTTATGTGAGATTTCCAAATTTAAAAATACTAAATTAGGGTGCTGTTTAGCAGATAGCTCCCTTATTTGGTTTCCTTAAATATGGCAATCCCACATAAGGATAGTAAATAGGGGAGTTATCTGATAAACAAAAATTGAAGTTAAGAGGTGTCAGCCAGTCCACAACAAGAACTCTGGGTGGCTAATGTGAATTCTATTAAAACTTATTGCTGGATGCCAGCATGCACAGCATGCTTGCATCAGACAGCCAATGGCAGCATATTACCCCATCCCCTAGGTTTTAGTGCCCCTCCCCCCCAGTTTTGACTGTGGTATCTTATGTGCCACCCCCATATATTGTTCCTAGAGTCGCCTCTGTGTCTGCATGTGTGTCTATGTATCTGCATGTGTGTCAGTGTGTATATGTACATGCATCTCAGAATCTCGCCAACATTACATACAAATACACCCCTGCATTTCAACGTCAACACTACAAACAAACCCCAGCATTATATATAACCATACCACTGCATTCAAAAACGACACTACACACAAATACATACTTGCATTTAAACGCCAACACTACATACAAACACAACTCTACATTCACTCAAACATACTCCATACAAAAACATGCTAACATTCAAATACACAAACACTGCTCAGTGCTAAATACATTAAAAAAATTGCAGTTGTTTTTTTACACTTTAAACTAGGAGGTGCCAAAAATAGGACCTCCCGGGTGCCAAATGCTCTAGGTACACCTAGTGGGGATTATGCCACTCTACGCTTTTCAAACCAGAGCTGGATTTACCTCTGGTAAATGTGAGTAATATCAACCTCATTAATATCATATACATACTGTACTATTGGAGTCCTTCTCTCTTTTTTACATGTTCTATTGGATCCCAAGTTACGTTTGATCTAGGAACTGCTATCAACAGTTTGCTGTTTCTTTTAAAGTCTATTTGGATTATTTTATCTGGACATTTATCATTTTTAAAATTTTAATATTTTATACATATAGTCGCTACCTTCTTCTCTCTCTTTGAATAAGTTTTTATATTTCTCTAAAACAACACTTTTATTTATTTATATATATATATATATATATATATATATATATATATATATATATATATATATATATATATATATATAATATGTATACATACATATTTTTCTGGATCAGAATCCTATGCATTCTGATTGTCTGATTGTATAGTGCACATGTAAATTAACTAAGTTGTAAATTAATTACATTTTTTTTCCAATAATGCACTATAGATTGCTTTGTGGAATACACCAGCAATGCAGATGACAGTATCCTGAAACAAGCATTGCTAGGCACTTCTATATGGCAACTCAAAGGTTAAACTCACCCGCAATGTTACAATGTGCCAATCACTGCACATTGCTGAATCACTCTGAAATATTGGAAAGAGGAAATAAATAATGATGTGAGCTATTAGCAAGGGTGGAACCCCCGAAATCATTAGCCATACCCCAGCTCTGCACTTTCTGTCTGATTTGTGTGATAAATGAGCAGAGAGAATAACCCATGCATTAAGGAAATGAAAGTGGATTTTTCATGGATTTCTTGCAGAAAAGATTGTATTTTTCTTAACATGTTAATGACCAGCCACAATCTATATTATCATAACAATGTAGTGTATAGGGGACCACTGACAGTCAATGTTATCTACAGTTACTGTCAGTAGGGCTCTATAGAATGTCTATGGATAAATAAACAGAATGTTCTATGCCGGCATATGATCTTTAAGTATCAGATTGTGCTAATGTCACTGCTCTGCATAGGTTAAGTTTGATTTTACCAAAGCCTATATTAATACTGTTATTGATAACTATAATTTCTATAAAAATTATTACTATCCATTTTTCTGTGAATTATAACATCTTAAATTATACTCTTCTTGGCAGAGAAAAATACTAGGTTAAATTATTTGGATTCTAATTCTCGGTGTATTTTATGGTTTACATTAACATCTTCTATCCCAGGACCCACTGCCCATCATTGCAGAGTTTATGTCGATGAATTAGTTAATTTTTGGCAAAGATCTACAGTGGCTGCTGCAGAACTGGCTAGAGGGCATTCAAACAGGATATAAAAAAAATCAATTGAAATTGTTCCCCCTTGTCAGCAATAAGAAGCTGAATAGATTTTGTGCAAGATAGAATAATTTACTAAAAACATCTCTTAACGTCAAGCCTGCCTTTCTCAGGGCTGTGAAATGACTCATCGACACAGTGGGTTATTTAATGCACCGTGTGTGTCTATAACCATGTATATATACACGTTATTATATATTGAAAAACTGTCTCCTTAACTCCCTTGCCTCTAATAATCCACAGTGAAGGGACACACAGGGGTTCCCTTGTGGAAATTTAGCAAAGAAAAATCAGTAATGCTCTTAGCATCAAACAATAAATCCTGAACTTATTTGCCAGCACATTTAATTAAATATTTTGAAAAGAAAACCCCAGGTGATTGATTTGCCTACCGTATTGATCCACTATTGATTCTTACTACCCCAGCTGTGGTATGTGTTAAACAGCAGAATTTTTTCCAGGTACCTTGCTCAGAATATTCATTTAACATGCTCGCTTTACAAATAGAAATCCAATTGGCTTCATATATATGTTAGTTTTAAATATTTGCAAGCACAGGTAACTGTTACATTATTTAATATTCATAGTTTCATATCTGCAGATATATGTTTGGGGATGATGGCATAAAAAAGGGAACATTTTGCTTACAAAAAATAAAAACTCACTTGTCAGTTGTATGCGTCATGTACACATATATATTGAACCCCTTTTTTAGAACACAAGTCAAACAGATTCCTTTAGATTTAAAATTTTAGATTTGTGTTATCAGTTCTTCCAAGCAATTATTTAGGTTACGTTATTTTGAAATACAATAACATATTTGGCATCAAACATTGTAAAAGAGGATTGGAAAGACGACAACCTTACGTTCTGTCAGCCATATGTGAAGTCACTAAACAGGAAATTCAAAGCATTTAGCGAAAGGTTGGATAATGGTTTTAAAAATACCTGAAGAATAGTCAGTTTAACCTCCTTTGTTCTGTACACATTGCACTATAATCGGAAAAGCAGCACAGTCCTCTGTTTATTAGAATATATTGGGCTTCCAGTGGTATAAATGGAGAATAAATCAAATAACGGATTAACCCCATTGCACAATCTCTGTTTTAGAGATTAACTATTTCAGTTCCAGAAAGGCAATTATCACATTTTATTCTAGCTTTTAGCATCAGTAGGGTTAGAGTCTATTGTGTAGAATTTTTTTTATTTTTTATTTGCCAAGACCCTCTCTTTTCTATTTACAGAATAAAAACCATGGTAAACTTGGTGGCTTCGGGGATTCAGATTCCTATCAAGGTTTTATCAATCCTATTTTAGTGCTGCATTGATCCTTACTGAGAATCTAATCTAAACTACGAAGACCAAATAACAACTTCATTACCTGTGCACTTCTGATTGGAGATCCCTAATGCCAAGATTAGTGGCAGTCAGCCTAACCTGCCAACATTGATTTGCTCTGTGAAATCACTTGTTTAAAAAAAAAAAAAGAAAAATCATGTTTGCTTGGTAATTGAACATTTTTTTTTATTTTTTTCCCTCTTGCTCTCTCTTTGCGCTCATCAGCCCATTGATTAAATGCCTGCATCTGAGAGGGTTATTTAGTGGAAAAATGTTTGGATTTTTCTTTCTTCTTTTTCTTCTTCTATTTTTATTATTATTTCAAATGTTATGTATAATCAGTGATCTAAAATCAATGACTCTTCCCCTCCTTGTTTTATTCCTGAAAAATGGTACTCATTGCAAGCACGGAATGATGGTTTCACAGCTAGTTAGCTTTAAGTAAAAGATACATTGAGCCTATCCTGCAAGAATAGACAGCTCATTTATATAGTTTTTCAGTACAGATTACCCAGGTTAAATAAATGAAACAGACTCTTATACTCAGCCATCACAAACAGGCAGAGAAATGGATGAACCCATTTTGCTTAATGCATACATGAATGTTACACCAGTTCCCCCCATGGTAAGGTGAGAGGTTAATGAAATGCTCGTTTCAGTGAGCCATATTGTTTTGTTTTCCTGCAAAGTTCTGATAAGTAGCTAACCAACCAAGCTTGTAATTACAATCTTACAGAAACCAGGCAGATCTGTATATAAATCTTACCATCCAATTACAAGATGTAATAATTTTGCACTCAAGCTGGTAATGAGGTCTAATACGCGAGCATTTGATAATCCCTACTGGATGCAGCCTTGATCAGATGTTGGCTTTGTAATTAGACTGGCAGAAAATCATTATTTCATGTTCAAATAGAAAATGAGGTTGGTGGGAAGTTAATTTCTCTACGCTCTGTGAAGCGTAGACAAGAATTTAATGATTTAATTACAATTGTAAGCTCTTTGCATGAGACTTAAATTGAGCTAAGATTTTTTTTTTCACACTGTGTCATGTTAGTAAGTGGCCGTATGAAAGCGTTTGACATCGTATTGTAATGACAGGACTGCCCAGTGTTTTTGATTTGATGAAAAAAAAAATATTTTTTTTGTGTAAGGGAGTATTCTGCGATTTGCATGAACCATAAACTCATTACAATGAATAAGTGTCTGGTAGAGGGTAAATCTGTCTATGTTCAAAAATTATGGAATCATTTTTAACTCAACCTTATTATTTTTATACATTTTTATGATACTTAAAATTGTATATCTAGTTCTGGTCCCGCAGTGTT